TAAGGTTAGCTTCTTTTACCATGTTATCTTTTAATCAATGTTTAATTTTTTGCAGCGCCGTAGAAGTAGTCTAGTGGTCATAAATGCAGAACTATGATTACTGAGGAACCCAAGTCTTGCTGAGCTTAATATGGCTTGAACTTTTTTTACATTTGAGAATGAAAGTACCTGTTGGAAGCTTACTTTTTGTAAAATACTCACTGACAACATTTTCTTAAGTATGGTTGAAAAATAATATATAGAAAAGAGACGAATCTGTTCACATTACCACAAAAAATATGGTACAGAGCCAAGAAAATAGCGTTGGACTGCACCAAGAAATATACAAATCTGTCGGAAGGACCGCTATTATTTAGCAGGTAGCATTTGGAATAATCTCTGCAAATTGTATCCATACAGAAATACTTATTTCTCATACAAGCAACTCTGATGAATTTTCTGCCTGCAACAAATGAGTAATTTTGGACATCATACAGTAAGTCTGTTGGCTAAGAATTCTGTGCATCTTTTAGTTTTTCTGAAGTATGAGGATTTCCAAACGGTTCAGTGCATCATGCCATGTCTATTTCTTTAGAATCTCGCCTGCATCGATCGCAACATATAAAAGTTATGATCTGTTTCTTAATACTTTTTAGAGGTCCTCAAAAGTCTAATATCTTATTCAGCTTTTGATTGACAGTGTTTTTTACACTCAATTTTTGATGCTGTTTGCTTAAAAATTTGTATTTTTCAAATCTCCTAGGTTATTTTCTAATTTCAGTGGTGAAAATAAAACTTAAATTGAGATTTTTAGTTACTTTTTTAGTATTTTTTTTTTTAGTTTTCTTTTAGTACTATTTTTAGTTACAGCAATTTTGTGCATTTATTTCTTACAGGTCTTATTCTTAAACACTTAAATAGCTTCTCAAGATTACTAAAACTTTTGAAAATAGAAGCTCAGCTACACGTTTACAATTTTACATTCATTTCTCTGAATAATTTAATGCAGTTTCTGCAAATGGTATTTATTACACAGTCAGAGCAAAAATAATTGAAACAATAATTAGAAGTAAGGAAGTAGGTTTTATCTAACTTAGACGAACATATCACCAATTTTTTAAAAGGATCACTGCGTCCATATGTATAGATGCTTTTAGAAAGTTTATGTTAATTTAAAATTCTTGTTAGTAGCTGTAAAGCAAGCCATCATGATCATTTCTGCTAGATTTCTCAAAAACACAGTTTACTGGCCATTTAAAAATAGCTCTAATTATGGGCAGCAAAATTAGCTTTGATTATTTCAAAAATCAAAGCATTTAGCTCGACTTTTCATGCCTGCATCGCTGGAAAATAAACAGGTCATTCTGAAAACTACAGATGACTAGCTTTTAGTCCTTAAAATTTTTCACTTATTTGCTGACTAGAATCTAACCCCACCAGTTTTTCTTTCTTCACATGAAGAAACTTTACAGCTAGCAACAATTTTTTTGACTATGTTTCTTTTTGGTTACAATACATAAACAAGTTTGTACCAAATTTTAAAAAGGTGGTTGAAAAAAGGCTTGTTTCTCTTGGGTAACATCTAGTCTGGCTTGTTCGTTTAGTAAGCACAGTTCAATACGGAATTCTTCTGACGCAAATTATTGAGCTTTTTTACTTGAACTTCTTTTTGAAAGGCTTCTATAACTGTTTTAAAATACGGTAACTGCTTTTAAACAAGTGTATGAAACTGAGCTCTTCAAAGCTTTAAAAACATGAGGTCTTATGAATAATGGCGTTTAGAAGACGATTTTCGGTTAACAGTTTAATCACAGCTCAAAATTGTTGTTGAATTTTATACTCAATTCAGAAGCTGCAGCCTTTAAAAGGTGTAGCTTTTTCAACATAAAGCTAACAGATGTCTGTAAAGAATGAACAAAGCAGGATTTTAAATAACAATTGGATTTGCAAAATAGCAGTTGAAAAAATTATACAATAACAGGTGGAAACCAATCCTGTCTTGTTTGAAATTTCCTTAAACCCTAGCGTATTAATCAGCCAGATAATTTACCGATTAAGACGCATTTACTTTTTCCTCTACATCTGTTTAATATCAGTGGTAAACACGAGCGAGTTACCATAGCACGCAGATTCTTCTGGCAGCATCTGTTTTCACGACTCTTCTGACACAAAGTGTATATTGACACTCTCGAGTTATCAAAAAATTCTTCCATTATTTGTTGACGCGAATAGACAACAGTCATACGACAAAATAGAAAATGCAAATTTAGCATTGATTTTAGCATTGAAGGTTTGCAGTTTTTGAAATTTTTGATGTAATAAATATAATATAGTTAATAAAAAAAGTGGCTTAGATTTCGTGTAAAGACCCTTTCCTTGTAGTTTATAACAGGTTTCAAAACTTGGTTCCAGTTATCAAACTTTTGAATTCTTCATGCAATTCTTAAATTTAATTTTTCAAAAATAAATTATTGAAACGTTTTAAACTTCTGAAACTTTTTGTTGTTTCAAACATCGTTTCATGCCTTACTTTTACTTTCATCTTTATTTGGTGATACTTGATTGTATAAGCTTGAGCCTTTACAAGATTTTTACCAATGCACAACTGAATCTCTACCAACTTTATATGTTTGAAATATATTCCCCAATTTCACGAGTTTTGAACATCAATGCTACATGCAGCTTGTACTTAGTAATACAGCTACACAAGGTTTTACACTGGAGAACAGGGAAACGAAGTAATATAGTTTGGCATATTTTACAGACCATCATGAGTGTTGCGGAAATATATTTTAGGAGTTTATCTAACTTTGATCGTTGACCTTTCAGTACTGTAGATTAACTGTGCATATTTGTTAAGCTGTTATTCAAGCTTCTTCACTTCATTCCTCCATTTTTTCGAATACTCTAGCACTCAACAGATCGACTTTTGAACTAAATAACTGCCCAGAAACTTATCGCGCTATCTGAAAATAATTTGGCAAATAATGTTCAAGTAACAAGTATTGAGCAGTCGTAGACTACTTACTAGTCAACATTTTCTATCTGGTAACGACACTTTCGATTACATATCTGTCAGGTTTAAATTTCTAATTGTAAGTAGTGGCTGGCTTAACAAGTCCTTAGAAATAATAGGTTCTATATGTTATTAGCCAACTTCAAGTAAATTTAAAGCGTTGATAAGACGGGCTTACTTAGTGCTTTACACAGTAGTGACCTTATAACACAGGTGTTTTTGATGTTTTTCTAGGTTCAACATGTATTTTTTTTTTCCAAAAATTTTCACTTCTGTAAAGCAACCCTTTTCTCCTTACGGATTAATAGGCATATCTCACCGGGTAACGTGTGAGAAAAGAAAGTTCATTAGTGTC